TGTGCAGTTCTGGTTTATAATCGGAAAGTGTTGTTCCGTGTACTTTATTTATTTTGAAAAAACATGTTGATATTACCAAATAAAGGTTATATTTGGATTGGTTGTGATTTAAAATCCCGTTTCCCCCAATTTCCTCATAATATTTCAAAGTTACAACGCATAGGGCTTATAAAGATCATGGCTTTCTAATTGTTTTATAAGGTCATGGGTGTGTGCGAAAGTGTGCGAATCAGTAATAATACATTTCATATCATCAAAACCGTCTGCTTTTCAACTTTGCTGCTCCCCATTGGGGATGTTTTTATTTAAGACACACTCTTACAGAGCACACCATCCAAACAAAACCCAAGAGAGGGAAACTGTTTTGTCAATGTTAGGGAAGAGCGGTAGTGAGCAAGCGAAGCGCGCTCGCTAGGGAGGGGAGGGTGAAAGGCCTCCCGCGCGAAGCGCGGAAGCTTAGACGATTCATTAAATTATTAGGAAAAGTAGACGATTCGTTGTACCGTTCGCGACTCTTAACCCTAATTGTCTGAATTTGTTTTCTACCCCTCCCTTTGCTTTGGCGTTTCATTAAATTATGAGAAAAATCAGACGATTCCTGTAACCGTTTTCGACTCTTAATAAGCCCTAATCGTCTGACTTCAGTTCAGTTCCCCCCCCCCCTCCCGCGAAAGCTTTGACGTTTCCTTAAATTATAAGGGAAAGCAGACGATTTGTTCTACTGTTCTCGACTCTTAATCCTTGTCTGAATTTTAGTTCCCCCTCCCACGCGAAATCTTAAAGTTTCCTCAAGTTATTAGAGAAAGAAGACGATTCGTTGTACCGTACTCGACTCTTAATCCTTGTCTGAATTCAGTTTCCCCCCTTTCCACGCGAGGCGCGAAAGCTGAGACGTTTCCTTAAATTATTGGAGAAAGAAGACGATTCGCTGTACCGTACTCGACTCTTAATCCTTGTCTGAATTCAGTTTCCCCCCTTTCGCCGCGCGAAGCACGAAAGCTGAGACGTTTCCTTAAATTATTGGAGAAAGAAGACGATTCGCTGTACCGTACTCGACTCTTAATCTTGTCTGAATTCAGTCCCCCCCCCCCCTCCCGCGCGATACGCGAAAGCTTAGACGTTTCCTTAAATTATTAGAGAAAGAAGACGATTCGTTGTACCGTTTTCGACTCTTAATCCTTGTCTGAATTCAGTTTTTCCCCTCCCGCGCGAAGCGCGGAAGCTTTGACGTTTCACATAATTATTATAGAAAGAAGACTATTCGTTGTACCATTCGCGACACTTAACCCTAATTGTCTGAATTCAGTTCCCCCTTCCCCCCCCCCCCTCCCTCCCGCGCAAAGCGCGGAAGCTTTGACGTTTCCTTAAATTATGAGAGAAAGCAGACGATTCGTTGTACTGTTCTCGACTTTTAATCCTTGTCTAAATGAAGTTTCCCCTACCGCGTGAAGCGCGGAAGCTGTCGCGTTTCATCCAAATATTAGAGAAAGGAAGACGATTCGTTGTACCGTTGTTGACTCTTTATCCTTGTTTAAATTTAGTTTCCCCGAAAATTTTTAAACCTCTGATTTTTTTAGCTGATATTATATGAAAGTGAAACTTCGATAAAATACAAATATTGTAGTTGTAGTAACTCTCGAATTTGTCACAGCGGAAAAAAGGTCACAGTTCGTAGGGAAAAAAAAACTTGTCGGCGAACCGACATTATACGTCTCACCGACTTCAAACTTCTGCATTGATACAGAACACGAGGATCGAGCAAGAATACCTACACAACTGACCCGACACAACAATATATTTATGCCTGTCTTTCTTGCTCCCTCGACGAGACGACTTCACCCGACTTCACCCCTCTATCTTTTACTCCCACTCCTCCTCTCTCTCTCTTAGATTCTTACTTCTCTCATCCCCGTTTCTCTTGTTTCCTTTTTCTCTTTTTTTCCTTTTCTTTCTTTCCTCTCCTCCCTCTTTTTTCACTTTCTTTCTTCTTTTCTTTTCTTCTTCCCTTTCCCTCGCTTTACCTTTTCTTTCCTTTCCCTTTCCCTCTCTTTTTCCCCTCCGTCTTTTCTCTTTTTTCCCGACGGCAGCGTAATTTTACCGACAATATCCTGACAGGTGGGGGGGTGTCGCACCTCCCCCCCCCCCCCCCAAGGTCTATGGTAATAGGTCCAGTACGGTTTAAAAGACGTTTTAAATCAATAACAAAACATTTACTTTTCAATGAGGAAAAATCATACCTGAGAAGATAGAAATTATAATTAGTGAAAAATATATAACAGGGGAACAATATTATTGTAACTAAAACATAAAAAATACTGAATTATAGCAGTTGCCGAATCTATTACATTTAAGAAAAACCTTCACCCCAGAAATGCACCAACTTATTTATGCAACTTGCGTTCTGGCAATTGTAGCACAAAAGAATAATATCAGTTGAATAAAATGCCTTATCAGTTATCACCACACACAACTGGGAAGGAAGCATCCATAAATTTGAATCATTTACTTTATATAGTACGTCACGTTATCAGGAAAATGACGATGACCATGCATTATGTGCTGATAAACTGTACATTATTCTTGCTCTTTGCACTCTGATGGGGAATATTGTAGATTAATGGGCAATAATATAATAAATCTCTTAGAATAAGTTAAGTTATTTTTTGAGGTGAGGTTTCTTTTAACACGAACATCAAGACACACACAAAGACAACCCGATATGAAATAACTACGGTTATTTTCATTTTTAATTTAAAGTACAAAATATCCCCATAAATCAAGGCATACCATCGTTTGATTTCCCCGAAACCCATAGTAGCATATATCTGGAATGAACCAGCTGGTGGGCGTTTCACAAAGCCTTTTTTTCAATGACAAATGACAAAAATCAGTGACAAATCTGACGATAACCAATCAGAAGCAATGATTTCAGTAGCTTATAACAAAAACTGTCATTAGTCACTGATGATAAGTTTTGTGAAACGCTCCCCTGGAATGAACATAGCTTACACATTTTGCCTTTCAAGAATCATTATAAGGCGAATCTCATCTGAACATGATGACAACAAGGGCCTACGGCTCCGTGACTAATCGTTTCGTTTCACAGAAATGCCTTTAAAAGGATGAAAGTAAAATAAAAATTCACCGCCATTATCTACAAAAAGTATCCCCTTTCGCCAAAATATACACATACATAATAAGCATATACACATAGTCACGTTGTAATGCAGGTAGTGCATATACACATCGGTAAAGTTTTGTGCGATTTTAAATATAAATCTATTTATCCAACTACAACATGCCTACTGCACAGGAGAACATGAATAGAGGATACATGTATTATAACACGTCATAAATTATTTGAAGTGTTGGAAGAGAGTTACATGACTTGTTTACCAAAACATAATTTTTTTAAATACATTTCAAGTGTTGACTCGTATACCCATAATCATGTTAGACGATATTTTTTTCTTATACCCATGTAATGCGCATCCCACCCCCTTCATTCAAATTCTTTTAGCCCACTATATTGCGATTATTATCTGAAACAGCCTGTAGTCCCAAAAGGGGGAAATGGAAAGTTCATTTTGAATAATGAGTTAAACAAGTACATGTAAACGGTTTGAGTTATGGTATGATGTTTGCTTGATAAAACAAAACATGCAGAAGGGGAGAGACGAAGAAAGATACACAGAGAAAAAGATTGACAAAGAGAGAAAGAGACAGATATACAGACAGAAACAGGAAGGGACGGACAGAGTGAGATAGAGGAAGGGTGGAAGGTAAGAAGGGGGAACCGATAAATTATAACACTACCAATATTACCCGGTATCTACTTTTCGTTTTACATACAATGGATCACACTTTCATTTAAATCAACTTTTACAATATGCTTGATCATCCATACCAATAAAAAAAGTGAAAGAACTGGAAGAGTATTACATAAATCATGAAATAGTTGTTTCAATATAACTATGAAAATGAGAATAAGTAAAATATCTAACAGTTTTTTAACAACAAAATGTATACGAGGTAGAGGTTATGCATATTCATGATGAACTTACAGAACATGGTTCTTTTATTGGACCTTCCTGTGTGCTTGTCCCAAAATCATTTACATAATACATTGTCTGTTCCTAAACCCTTATATACAATTTATTACCAGAAGCACACAGAATGTGATATCTTTAAGTTGTCATAAAACTTAATAAGTGCAATATCAACATGAAAAAGAAAACATGAATAAACATGCATGAATACATTCATTTCTCCATTTAGCAGCCTATGTTACATGATATTCGAGAAATGCTTTTCATAGAGTACCGAAGTGTTACATCATACTGGCCATGTTGAAAAGGTTGCTGGTTCCAATTTATTTGATGGCTAAACGATGGTGTGGGGATCACACCAGCCCAAAACACTAAATTTACCCGGCTCCAATCCGTTGCTTGAGCGATTTCGCGGGAAACATCATGCGCATGCTTAGTCGTTTGAACCAATGACCTGCATGGACGATGAGCGGTTATGATGTCAGCACTTCAATACTCTGTAGCTCGTTAGTTAATAGTACCACTCATGCATCTTTCAATGTCCCATATATTCCAAAATATATTAAACAATTAGAGTATAAGAAAACGCGTAAAGATAACAAATATTCAAATACTTTCAAAAGTACCGGTGCTTTCTTGTTCAGCCATCTAATCTAATTTTGGTTTATGTTAACGTAGCACCAAGTAATGATTTTCACTAAAAAACTAATAATAGAAACGTAAAAATGTGAAAACCTTTTGAATTTCATTGCCCTATATTCGACAGCAAAATGGATAAAGTGAATAGATTTGTCTGCCTATTGTTTACCATGGCATGGAAAGATCGTTTGATGAATAATGCAAAGCAAAATCAACAACTTATTGAGAAATCACGTAGAATTTTAGGGAGTAATGAAATTGTAATAAAATGCATGAACGAAAGGTAATAAAAGGTTTCTTTAGTAAGAAATGTTTATATCACGTGTGTTCTCTATTATTTATGCAAATATTTGTATTTTTTCGAAAAGTTTCCTTTACATGGTTGACCGTCATACTAAATGGAATGTTGATACTTTTTTGAAAGAAACGTTGACCACAAACCAGTACTGAAAGATATAGTTTGAATCTAAAGCTGCAAAGGATACAATGTATTGAACATACAAATATTTTGCCATTAAATGGTGAAAAGACATTTAAATATAATTACACATTCAACATACTTATTTTAAGGACTGCCATCTTTTCATAACATATTCCATGCATCAGTAAACAGAAATAAACACGTTTTTCTCAATAGGGTCTCACATGCCTCAAGGTCCATGTAAATCAATATATTATTACAACTGAAAGAATGTAGGAATAAAGTCACCCTCTTTTTCCTCACAATTATTATCAATTGACAAACAGAAATTCCACCTTGTGTTAATCTTACATTAATATTATAGAAGAGAAACAAACTAGTAACTTTGAATATTAGCTTGAAAGACAATCTTTAGAAGAGAGCTGCTTTAGAAAAGCACCGTTTGAACTCGTATGAATTGGGAAAGCCGTAAGAAGAAAAAAAGATCAACATTACTGAAATTAAAATTAAAGAAACTTTAAAAGATAAAGATTTGTTAAATGTTATCTCTCCTGATTCCAATCTCACCTTGGCATCCACTGATATAGTCATTGAATTTGGCCTATTAGTGTGCTGGCAATAACACGCTTCTGCTGCACTGGATTTCAATGGTGCACACGAGGTGTGATTTGCCTGACGTTAGGACTGCGTCAGCCACTGTTGCGTGATTTGCCTGACGTTAGGACTGCGTCAGCCACTGTTACGTGATTTGCCTGACGTTATGACTGCGTCAGCCGCTGTTGCGGTCTTTCCGCAACTTTAAAACGGCATCGTACCAAAACAAAATGAATGCGAAAGGAATAGTGGAAACGTTACGTTGAATTAATGGCTAATATTAGCGTATAGTAAATTAGGAAATTAGCGCGTTCGAATTAACGACTTGTGAGTAGTGGGCATTATTGTTTTCCTATATACACAATTCATCTTACATCGCATAACTCACAGTACTATTTCCACCTTCTTACTTTCCAGATTCAGTTTTACATCATTATAAATCCATCTTTGAATATATTCCATAAGGTCTTCTGTTAAAAAGAAACTCTCTCATATAAAACTAAATTGTTATCTTCAGATAATTGATATAAATGTATTCTGTTAAAAGCAGCAAAAGGTATAACACTCTGTTTAAGCCTTGTTTCACAATATATGGTAAGCCTCTACTATGGTAATGCAATAAATGAGAAAGACCGATGAATGCATATAAACTTTACTCTCTTACTTTCTAAACCTCGTAAAATGTGTGATGAAAGCACTAGTAGAAATAGTCACACCGCTTAACCAGGACATTGAACATAATACACTGATCACCCAATCGTTTTGAAACATTTAGAAAGGCGTTCTTGCATAAACCTGAAAGTAACACATTATAAAGAAATATATTTATATACTTTAATCCTCAACATTTGTCAAAAATACCTCTGGGGTGGTTTGAACCATCACATTAAATAAAAGGTCATGAATACATTATTATTTTGTGTCATCAGAAGAAAAACTGGAATTCGGACAAACCCAGAGGTTACATTCAAGGAATTAATAATATATAATCAAATACAAAATACAAAATAATTAAAATCAACAAATATTGTCTATACAGCAGCTGATCCTGCACCAAAAAACTATACAAAAGAAAATTAAAAAATGAAATAAAATGTATTACCAATAACTGAAATAAAAAATTAAAAAAGTTATAATATTTGATGCTCTATGCGATAAATGCAGACGAATTTAGAAAATAAAATCAAAAGCAAAATTATAGATAATATTGTATCACATTGGCAATACTAACAAATATATAACTATTTTCTTGCAAGAAGCAAGATGTGTTCGTTTGATGCATAGGTTTTGGAAGTGACCTTTTCAGTTTTGTCATCAGTTCTGTATTTAGTCGATGGGAGACGGGTATTATGATGACGCGGCTGTGAATTAAGGAGACAGAAGGGAGAAAGCAAGAAGAAAAAAATATTATTTTCATATTTATACTTTCCACAAGATAATCAAATGTAATGACAATGTTTGTTGTCCTTAAAAACGCGAGTGATCGAAATGGTTAAAAGATAAATTCGCCTTTTTTCAATTGATGTCATAGTAAAAATTAATGTCATAGTGAAATTAATGTCATAGTGAAATTAATGTCATAGTAAAAATTAATGTCATAGTGAAATAATGTCATAGTAAAAATTAATGTCATAGTAAAAATTAATGTCATAGTGAAATTAATGTCATAGTAAAAATTAATGTCATAGTGAAATTAATGTTAAGGAGTAACTCTTAATCAGATTGTGGTATTATTGAGTACGTTAACTAATTTGGGTTTGTAAGAGTAAATAAAGAGATGGAAGTGTGACAGAGAGGGGAGGAGAGAAGGAGAGTAAGAGGAAGAGGGGGAGGAGGAGGTGGAAGAAGAAGAGGAAAATGAGAAGAAGGAGGAGAAGAAGAAGAAAGAAGGACGATGAGATAAAAGGAAGGTTGGCCCTTTTCATAATACAAGAGAGAAAAAGAGAAACAGATGGAGCGCGAGGAAGAAATGTTGGGGGGGGGTGGAGCGAGAAAATGCTGAATGTGTGCTCCGATCACATAATTTAAGCCAGAAGCATGAACGAAGCAAAGATTGTGAAGCAATAAGCATTAGAAAAGGAGATATTAAAGGAAATTTAAAATGCAATTAATCATTAAACATGGTTAAAACTATAACTAAATGCAAGAACATCAAGCTGAAACAAAGATGCGAGTATAATAATAATAATAAAATAGTTATGCAAATGCAAGAAAGCAAGAAGTAGCACGTCAACAGATCTCTCATAGCAAGAAAAAAAAAGGGAATGGGATGGAATTTGCTGAATATTTGCTTGGCCGGCTGACAAGACACAAATAATTGTCGACAGCTTAGTGAATCATTTTGTCCATATATTTACACTTTTTTTGGCAAGGTAAAAATGTTCTAAACAAAAACTTTAAAACAAAAACGTGTATTGCACACATACGGTAAACACGTGAAATTGTCACCCATGGTACAATAATTATGGTTTTATGTTTATAATCATAATGATAAAAAGAAGAAACCGGGGCGAAGTTGAGTGAATTAAATGAAGAGGAGGATGGTGAAGAAAAAGAAAAGGAAGAAATAGAAGAAACTAAAAAAGGATATATGATAAGGATTCCCAAAAGGGAAAAGAGCAACGAACAAAACAAAAAATCATTAATATACTGGGCGTAGCAACGGTCCAGTCCCCCGCCCATGCAAAATACAAGTCATTAACACCTTTCTTGATATGAGAGCTCTGTAATGTACGTGCAAGGCAGAAAGAAGACAAAAATCATATGGAGTTGCGTGCGAAATTCACCTCAAAATGAAAAACAGTGAAACACATAATGATATCATGCAGGGTGTGAGGAGACAAGACTCGGTCGAGCGGGCCACGGGTTGTTTGGGGAAGAAATGTCGTGGGGGATTCCATCTTGCATGTGTTGACGATGCTCTTGTTGCAGCTGGAGCTGATGCTGCTCTTGCTGTTGCCGGTGGGCCAGGGCTAGACTGGCTTGTTGTAGGTGATGGATTTGGGCAGCGTAGTCTACAAAGACCAGATTGCAGGGCCGCAGTGGGTGGGGGAATGAAGGAGGAAGGAATTATGAGTAAAAGAAAATTGCACTATAAACTAAAAGCACGGCAAAAAGAATGTTAGGGATTTATCAATTAACAAACAGAGGCATGCAAACAAAAGAGTGAAATGAATAGAAAGGCTATTTGTTACTGGTTGCAAATGCTTTGTGAGACAGGCATACAGTGTTGTTGCAAAATAAAGAAAGTTGCTTTAAATGACTAGACGATTAGACAAGAGCGTATAGAAAATTTACATGACTGACATTGGAGTATTCGAAAAATGATTTCCATATCAGCATCGATTATCAGATATGTGTGGAATACATTCACTACCCTCTCTCTCAATGTTCATCATTTTGAATTGAAAACATGTTATGCATGATTAAAAAAGAATGCCTTATATACTAGAATAAATATATTCGTGAGGGAGAAATAGAGGGCGATTTACAAGGAAAATGAATTCTTATCAACGAGTGAAAAAAGGGCATACAGAAATAATAAAGCAATAAAGTGAAGAAACAAGAAATAGTGAAACCCGGTCGCAAACATGCTTGTAATATCGCTAAAAACCACATACAAAAATCAAGAGCATGCTACAATATCCCTGCAAATGTCCAACAATTTTTATTTTTTTTTTTTTTTTTGAGATTGACAAACTGGTGGTTTTAAAAATAAATCTTATTAATAAGGTGTGAACAACGAGGCGAACAATGCAATCACAATAACTGATTTGGGATTTGATACTTGCGTTTTCATCTACGAAAACGCAAAAAAACTACCATGAACATGATCGGAACTACTTTCGAAACTCAACTCAAGGGCAAGGTCCCATAGAAATCATATTCAGATTACGTAATATGTCCAGGGGCGGATCTAGGGGGGGGGGGGTTCGGCGGGTTACCCCCCCCCCCCCCTCCCCTCTTGAATTTGTATATAAATATACCGTATATAAATATAGGTATTATTTCAGTGCCCCGCGATACAATTCCTAGACAACGAGCCTCTCAAAAAGGCTACCAAAAGATGCGTTTAGCAATTCTTTGTTTCCTTAAAAAGAAATCCTCGTCTTCTACACGAACAGGGAATAACTTTTAAATTATGGAGAAGTGATTTTTTTTTACACATACACGATAGTGAATACCCTAGGATTAAAGTGTTCAAACTCAATAGAAAATCGCATTTACATCTAGCATGGAGAGGGCGTGATTTAGGTGCGGTTAGGGTGTGGTTAGGGCGGGGTCCTACCTGCTTTCACTGGAGCTGTGGTGGTGTTGGGCAAGAAGGTCGCTAATGAGGCAGTGGTGATCCCGGTGGTCTGGCCGGCTGTCGTGAGTGTGGTAGCATCTGTGAATCATCGATCATGAGCAAGATGAGAGAAATACGGGGGGATCGAAGAGAGATAGTCTAAAAAAGTCTAAAGAAGAAGAAAAGAAGGTGCACGGCAAATGGGAGGGGAGCTCCCAAGATGCGTCACAGAGTTGCCAATTTGTATTTGATTGATCACACCTTTAAAAAAATTTCATTACTCAGTTCGTCGGCCGACTGGCAGAAGGGCGTAAGCGCGCGAGCCACTTTTCGAATTATTCGCATTTAAAGATTTGTTTTATATTTAAACTGCTTTCCGTCCCGAAAATTGGTTAAAAACTTTAAAGACTAATAGAAATGTTATAATTTTCTATCAATTTTTGCTCAATTTTTCACTAACCTTTTTTATCTCATGTTTCTGCTTCTATTAAAACCAATTTAATCAGGGTGGAAGCCCCCTTTGAAAAAAAAATAAGCATTTGTACAAACTAGTCGAGTATCGATGCACTGAACAACAAATTAAATCACCCCCCCCCCCCCCTCCTTTCTAATTTCATCTGATAAAATCATACTCACTTTGAATGGGAGGTTGCGCAGTCGGGTACACTTCTTGATAACCGAGAACACTGGCGGGCTTTAGCTCCGTGAAGGTGGCATTGTCAGCTACTCCAGGGCTACCGGCGCTTAGGACAGGGGTGCCTGCTTGTCGGACTACAGGGGTCATGAAGGGTATTTAGAAATGGTGTTTGAAATATTTGTATTGTTGTTTTCTTCCCATCAGTGGAATCGATCAGAAAAAGTTGATCATGTAGCAATTGCATAAAGTATATCGGTATGTACCAGGAGCGGATCCACGGGCCGATTCTACCGCCCCCCCCCCCCCTCCCCTCTAGCCCCCCAAAATGGTTAAAAATAAAGGATGGTAACGAAAATTTTACCTTTTTTAAAACAAAAAACAAAGCGCCCCCTGACCCCCCAAAAAGAAGGGGAAAAAATTATTTCAGCACCCCCCCCCCCCCACCTATTCACCAGCTTGATGAATCATTGCTTAATATTTTTTTCTCACGAATTGGGCCCCCTCCTCCCCCCCCCCCCCCCCCCCCAAAAAAAAAAAAAGAAGATGCTTAAACGTTTTATGACGCTGAGCTGGTTCTTTTTATCAAACGCAATAAATTTGTTGTAGTACTAGAGAAATAGAGACATGTGCAACTGATGTAACAATGTTGTTTTACCGAAATGTTACAACATGTACTTTGCTCAAATCTATTGTTTTGTTCTTGCTCAAGAATGATTGAATATCAAATTTCTTTGAAAAAAAAAAAACAAGAACATTTTTTGTCTCATGTTCTTCCACACTTGTATAATAACAATGAAAACACTCACAAATTAGTTTTCACCTCCCCAGAACTCAACCTACTCTCGCCTGGTACGTCACATTATCAAGGAAATTGCTGGGTTCATGTCATGCTAAAAGGCATTACATGAATTCAGGCGGGATCCAGGATTTCTTAGGGGAGGGGGCCCAACTTTTTTTTGCTCCCGAGGGGGGGGGGGGGGGGGGGGGGGGGTAGTGAGTACATTTTTTTTTTTTTTGATCCTCAAAAAAAATTCAATTTGCACCCCCCCCCCTTGAGCGCCAGGGGGGGGGGGGGGCCACCCAACCCCAAAAAAGGTAAAAAACGTGATTTTACATGATTTTTTTTTTCAAGGGGGGGGGGCCGGGCCCCCCCCCCCCCCTGGATCCGCCACTGCATGAATTTACATTATGCCAAGAATATCTTCATTTTTATGTCTCTCTGAACACTCATTGGTAAGGAACAGTGTAGGCCTACATAAAAGGCAGATTTTCAGGAAACCTACACTTATTCTAGGGCATTTTCTAGTTTTGCTTTATCTAAACTGTCCCTTCAACACAAGCTGAAACATACATAACACACTTCTCCTCCACACACAAGCAAGAGCCAACGGTAGCGTTTCAAGAAGGGGAGGGGGCTCAAACCATTCCTATCCAAAATGATGTGCCCCTCCCGAGTTTCTTAAAATTTTAATTTAGGCACGGCACATGAAAAAATGAGAGAAAGAACCCTTAACCCCCCCCCCCCCTCCCCAATCATGTTTCTGGAACCGCATCTGCAATCCAGACGTGTCAACCCAACACGACAGGTGGCACGTGCGCCTCCCCCCCCCCCCCCCCCCCCCCCCCCCCCCCCCCCCCCCCCCCCCCCCCCTCCAGCGATTTAAATCGCCTTGTATAGAGGATTTCATTTCAATAATTTGAATTTGAAGTTAATTTTTAGCAATATTATAAGTAAATGTAGACCGTCAAACCCCCCCCCCCCCGCCCCTATAAACATGATGACCTCTAGTTTCTACCCAGTCCCCACAGGAAAAAATATATCCCGACCATGCAGCTAAGATCAACCATACCATAGGGTCCCGTCTCTGTATACCTCATATCAACAAACATTCACATTACCATTCTTTATCAAACACCACTTTCAAAACGGCAACCAACAAACGTTCACAAGAAAAATCCGTGACTGCCCATAAGAAGTCAATGTTTCACTAACGTTTCGTATATCATAATTATTTCGTCGGCCCCAGCTTCAGTCCTACTGCTCCTACAATGCCTTGCACGGGATGTGAATCTAGCAGAGTTAATTTTCATGCATTTTAAGATCAAACTCAGAGGCAGACACATGATTAGTTGTCCGGGAGTTGGGGATGGGGCATAATAACAACATATATGTCTAAAATCTTCGATATTAACCCCCCCCCCCCCCCCCCCCAAAAAAAAAAAAAAAAAAAAAAAAAAATGAGTTTGGAAATTTGATAGAGCACACATGTGTGCATGAAGTACATGAGATTTCTTTTTAGGCGGCAATCGCTACCATGCACACATTTGGCCCGCTACAGTAGCGATCCTAATTCGTAACTCTGAACGCATCCTGTACAACTCGTCATAATCACCCCTCTTTTATTATCAAAATAAGTGTACACACGAGAGAAGAAAGTTATAAATACATATATAGTGCTAAATCTCGATGTGCAATGTTCAATCAGAAAAAAATAACTGTCGGTTTCTTCGGAATCACAATTACAGGCAAGAACATATCACATTTCATAGAAATTTGAAAAGGAGGAAAAGTTGAAAATGACGACAACCGTCATTAACTGGTTCTATACTATATGACACAATACATGATATCACCATAGACTTATTACTCACTACTTCCGACTTTTGTAGTAAATCTATGATTTCACTTTAAACGATTTTTTGGTCAATTAGCCGATGCTATAATAAGTGTTATATACATGTATAATAATAAGTCACCTGTTGACAACAAAGTTGGAGTTCCTTTCTTTCCTCCAAAAAGGGAAAAATTAAGATTTTAGAGAACATTTATCTAATTTACACTAAAACAGTTCCCTTTCTTCATATGCTTTTTAATAGATCAAAACTACATTATCAAGTCATTTTCATTTATTCAGTTTCTTAAACATTAATAAATTCCATTTGAAACAAATTGATGAATTTGTTGTAGGTTTACACCTTAACATTGCAATTCGCATACACCGGCAATGGTGTTATAGTTGAAGACTGATCCCGGACTGCCAAAAAGGGAGATGTGGTATTCTATATCAAGAGGGCATTGGCAGATTTTTCTCCCATACGCGAATCGTCCTCGGTATAGTATCCAAACCAATTTTTACATATCCTGGGCCATGTGTCATTAAACTTTTTTTCAATAACAAGCGTCACATTCAATAATAAGTTTGCTCACAGCCAATGAAATACAACGATATCAGTAGGCCATATCCGTGATTGTACTTAGTTATTGAAAAGAAGCTTTATGAATTGGGGCCCCAAGTTCAACGCTCAAAAATCCCCTCAACCACCTCTAACCCAAAGAATACAAGTCACAATAAAACGACACCATGGTATAAACTAAAAACAGAAATGTTCATATTCACCTCGTGCTAATCTCAATTCTTCCGCTTTGGGACTTTCAACCACTCGCGTATAAGCGCCCCTTACGTTCGTATCACTCTGCACAGGTGTCAATGTGTGCAACCCTGCCGACTCGGATAAAGGAATCTGACGAAAAATGGAAGCACAAAAGTGGGGAGAGTTTCATGAGTTTTGGGTATTTTGAAGGCCTCTCCGTCCAAAGAATATCAAATGTGGTTAATAAAAAACCCAACTCCTGAAGTTTGTTAGAGAATTTGGTAAATGATCACAAAGTGCAGAGAAAAAGAGGACACTTTTGTCATTTTTTTTAGACAAATGATGGAGTGCCGATTAAAGAATGTATCTTGGAGTGAGCAGGAAAGTATCTACAGTTTGGTTAGGAATTAATCGATGTGCTATGAAAAATGATACCAAAAATCCGGAAATTACCAGAGTATATCAAATTAGTGTTTTCCTGAGAAAACATGAAAAGAGACTGGAAAGTTGGATGAATATGCGATTTGAGAAAGATATTTCAAGGAGAAATAAAGTGCTAAGAATATCCGAGAAGGAAAGATACACAACCATTGACAACCCAGTGTGTTAGTACACCCAAGAAGAAACACGAGTACAGACTACGATGTTGTTAGATACTTATCCTTCACATTGCACAAAGAAATTGTAGAGAGATATACGAGCAAACATTTCATTTTCAACATACGCCTGCGTTAAGAAATATTATCAGACCGCAGTTCTAAGAAGCAGATTGGCAAGGCTTTAACTACCTTCCAATACTAACCACTCGTGAAACAGATGAAGTTAAAATAAAATGTTTGTCGTTATATTCCAGTGTTTGGTGAACATAAGTAACACAAAGCAATACATCTGAAAGAAACTACATATAAGTACATGTATACTACAAAGATGGTACTTTCTGGTGACACAATTTGTAACACATACTCCCACATGGAAGGAAATTAAAATGGTATCATGTCCACATAGCATCTGATCACAGTATTTCCTTGAGATAAACATATTTGGAAAATTTTATATGGAAATATTTATTTATTTATTTATTTCGTTTTATTTCAACAGGGTATTCCCATCAGTGGTTAAAATACTGTTATACTTGGGGGCCAATATGCACAAAAAGAATTAGATAAAAAGAATCACCACTTATAGTGGATCACAATTTCTTATAATGGCAACTTTATTGTTGGTCTAGGATTAGGTTTATAGCTCAGTTGACCACAGACGGCCCACGAGATGCAAACTATGACTCGTTAGCCTCCTGAAGAAAAAAATCTGAGGGCTCACGAAAGCAACTAACTATAAGACTAACAGGAAGCGGACCAACATGTGGACCTTCTGAAAGTATTTCTGGGGCCGTCTGCCTCGTTGAACGTCACTCTTGTTTGCTGTCAGTCAAACAAAATTTCCCCTCATTAAATTGACAGACATACATTCAAATGGTTAATGGAATGTTAAATAGATTGTGCATCTTCACCAACTACTTGAGATTACATTAGATGAGAAGTATTACGATATACTACATATATTGGGTTAGTGTGCCTCAACCATGAGTATTAAACAAGATTATAAGATACAACAAGTATGACCATAAAAATTGAGAGAATATGATTGCATGGAAATATGTGATAGTGTCATCATTCGGAAGGAAAGATATAAAAATATTATATGATAACATATAAAATTTGCGTTATTTAAGAAATAAAATTGAATTATTATTTCAATTAGCATCCATATGATTAAATCATTAGACAGAAACATATGTTCACGTCGGAAATCAAAATAACGGATAATAAAAGTATAAAAAAGAAGAAAATAAAAGCGCAAGCATTCATTATTTCAGTTTAAAAAAAACATACTATCTTACATATGCGTGAAATTAAAAGGATTCACAAAATCTGTGCATAACAACGCCACTACCTTTGGCATTGACCCGATATTGCACTCATCAATAGTTATGGCAGAAAAGAGAAATGTGAATTAATGCATGCATTTAAGGCATTATACATACAACCAATGTTTTCGAGGGAAAATTTCCATTGCGAAGATGTGAAAAATCAAATGTGATAGTGAATTTGGTCAACTATCCTATCTTTCAAACTGGCCCTGACTAACCCTTATTTGGAACCATCATAAATAAACATAACATGCGACTGTATATTCAAATTGATATCGAATTGATTATCATTACGATGATTTAATTTCATGATGACATGTGTTTTCTTTTGAGTTGTTATCAAGATCATCATTATTTTCATTCGACTTGCTCTCTTTTCTATCTATCTTGTCAATCGATTTCAAAGAATAGTCTCTAATGACATCATCTGGATCTAACACAACAACGTCTTGTGATAAAATTTGCCCATGTAATGAGTTTGCAGAGCTTGCTTTGGTTGGAGCTACCCCAACAGAAATTTCATTTACTTTGACAGTAGTTGCTAGATCAGTATTATTAAGTCCCTTTGGAATGTTTTTCCTTTTGGATACTGTCAAGTCTTTTGCTACCATCGATGAGCTTTTTGGTCTTGTCGACAAATCTGTTGGCATGATCGTAGTGACCTTTACTTTAGTTGATAGATCTGTAGGCTGGACAGAAGCGACGGTCACTTTTGTGGACAGATCGGTCGGGATCACAGACGCATTTGTGACCTTTGGCGCAAGGCATCTTGCTTTTGGGGCTCTAATTTTCATAAAAGGTTGATCGATCCGTTTATTTTTCAAAGGTAAATTAGAGGTAATCTTTAATACCACGAGTCGCTGCTCCTGGGACGGAATGGCTCCGGCACTCATGGCTAGCTCCCTGGCGAAGCTCTCGTAGTAACCTTTCAAGCTGCTGGCCCGGGCGTTGGCATTGGCATCGGTGTCAGGTTGCTCTGTCTTGATGGCGACGCCGGTGAAGGCAGTCATCTGCGCGGGAGTGATGGCTGTAGGGGATTGGTTGGCGGTGACGGCTGTTCTGACCGGGTTCGGCTGGTTTGGTCTAGTGGGAACTGCCAATTGGACGGTGCGGACGTGGGCCATAGGTTCAGCCATCTGCACACCCTCTACTCCTTTGGCCGGGGACAGCTGGGCCATCGTCGGCCTGGTCTGAGGACTGACGCCGTTACGTTGGGCAAATGCTTGCGCATCTGTAGAGCAGTGAAAAATATCGGGGAATTAAAACATGAACAGATTATTCGAGTCCCTTCAGCGATTTCAGTCATTTAAATCATTTAAATTTTGCCAATTTACTGACTTCTTCACATGACATTGTTTGATGACAGAAGTGACTTTTTTAAAATCTTACTTGTATATTAAGAACTTCATTTCTACACCAGTTTATTTCATACAGATACGTTTCTGATATACCGGTATTGATTAACAGCAATTTCTTTTTGACATTTCAACATTTTTGTCATCATACAACTAATCACTAAAATTGTGAATGAAATAATTTTCAAAAAATAATAGGCAAGGCAAGTGAAAACAATCACAAGAATAGTTATCACATGAAAATAAATATGAAGATGAGAGATGTATGAAGAATACAAAAAAATTATAAAATCAGTACATGCAGCTTCATTCACATACACACAAAGTTAGTCTTGTATAAGATAGTTGCATGGATGGCAATTTTAGTTTAAATTTTTAGATAAAATCGTTGCACAGATGAACGATTTTGATTCATCTTTAACGCCGTAACGCCATGTTTCACGCAATTTCTGAAAACATCTGCCGAAGCTTCTCAGCAAGAAACAACCATTGGCGAGTTCTATCCACCTGACTCTGATGTATAATGTTTTGTGAAATATGTTTACATATTTTTCAAAAAATGTCTTGAATATACGTCCATCAAATCAGCAGTAGAAATCATTGTAAAATATGTCCACATATTTCTCAAAAATTGTCTAAATGCGTTGATTAAATGGTAAAATGGTATTTAGGTGTAGATGAAAAATACAACGGAACAACAATAGCACACACATACTATTTACTAAGAAATGAAGTAAAATTAATGAAGTATAAATATAGAACAGATATTATAACATGCACACTTGTGCAATGTCTTCTATATGTAAGGGCGAAAAAATGGCTTTCTTATTCTACATTTCAGTATCTAGTGGATCGCCAGCAATTAAACTTGATTTTTGAAGGCAAAAATATCCCAAAAAGCCCACTAGAATCCAGTGACCAAATGAATACTTAAAACACATGGCAAAAATATGAAGGGGCAATTGGTTGAAAATCGTGCTATATCTGATATTTATATGTGATTTTGTGGTTACGTTTCATCACAACTTTTCAAGAAACAGTGCCCTGTCTTACAAAAAGTGGTGCTCGATCTGATTCGATCACATCTAACTTCAAATAAAATAATACCTAGTGCAAGTCTGTAGATTATATTCTAAACCAGGTATAATAATCCGTTTTTTTATACAGCGCTCAATACACTGATCCAACGATGTGCCCAAGCACTTTACAGATATATTATTACCCCGGTCATCGGATTCAGGCTTACCCGCACACAATGTGTGCACATTTTCCACTCCCTGGGGAGCATTCCAGCCAGTCGCCATGTATGCCAACCTTTACATTTACAGGCCTTAAATTTCAATACTTTCAGGGCAAGGCCACTTTTCTGTGGGGCACATTCCTATATTACAGCATAAATAGGAAGAATTAGAAAGGGCACAAAAAATCTCCAAGGAAATGAGAGGGGCATTGAGGCCAAACAAAAGGGCTTCCACGGCCATGGCCTTGGTGGCCTTGGATTAATTTAAGCCCTGCATTTAGCTTTTAGGCAGGATTCATTCAGAAATCAGGGAGGTTTTATCAATTGCATACAGCATTATAGGAATAATCTTTCAAAAAATCAGGATTAAAATCAGGCATTAAAACTTTCAGGGAGCCTCCCTGAAAATCAGAGAGGGTTGGCATCTTTTTTAAGAATGGGTGCCATTTTCACAATTAATATATAGATATCCAATTTATGCCCGATATAATTAGAGTGAAGGCAGATGCTTTTAATGACCTTGGATGCAAAACATGGATATAGCTAATGTGCTTCGATTAGCAAGTGCGCACTTGTAAAAATGACGCCTGGCTGGAATGCTCCCCAGGGAGTGGAGAATGTGCATACATCGTGTGGGGGGGGGGGGGGAAGCCTGAATCTGATGACCGGGGTAATAATATATATATCTGTAAAGCGCTTTGAGAGGGCCTTCGATCCTGAAAAGTGCTATATAAGAACTAGCTATTATTATTATTATAAACAAATCTGGCCAACATGACAAATACAAGAAAATAAGATTGGGCATGCGAATGAGTTGAAGAGGTGGGAAATACCTTCTTCTACATTTTTCTCCTTCTTAATGAGCTGAGGGTTGAAGTGAGCCTGCACCACCACCACCTGCTTACCCAAGAGTTCCTTTATGGTGTAGGCCGGCGGGAGCCTGACGGTGGCACCACTAGGGGCTACCGTGGCCGCCGCCGCTGCTTGGGGGGACGTCGTTGGGACGTGAATGGGATACCCGCCAGCCTGCGGACTCTGCTGCTGGAGGCTGCTGTAGTATTGCGCGAACTGGGCAGGAGTGATGGTCGTGGGTTGCTGCGAGTTGTGAGCCATAAGCTGCTGCGGGGTCGGGCGCTGGATGGTGACTTGAGTTGGAAGAGCTTCATCGGGAAGATCTAGTTCGGCGATCTGCTGTTTCTTTCTGGTCAGTGTCGCTTCTTCCATAACATAACCGTTCACAATCTTATTCCGCAATATCCTATGAATAAAATATTAAAAATACATGGAAAGAAGACATTATCTAATGGCCAACTTTAACTAATATAATCTTTTTTACCATGTATAATTGTAATGTAAGCATAATTGTATCAAAGTATATTATGTAGCTCACTGTAAGCGCCTTGAGCACCCTTTGGGGGATATGTTGCGCATTATAAATGTCTTAATTATTATTATTATTCAATGTTGGATTTGGAATAACAAAAGTGTGATATCTGTGCTGATGAAAGTTACAAATAGAAATGAAAATGTTTAGTATGTGACCTCTAATCAATATCTAATTCCACAAAGATGTAAGGGTTATTTCTGAAGTTTTACAACCCATGGTGGTCATGTAACTATGTGTAAGCTCCGGCTCACAGGGGAGGGGGGGGGGGGGAGGGGGAGGTCTTTTAACAGTTGGTGTGACCAAAGGTGCACAGGGTGGACATAGAAAGTTTATAACAAGAACGACAATAATGAAAAATTGGAAACGACTGATATTGCGTAAGACAGAATTGACTACAATAAACATTACCTGTTGATGGAGCTGACGCTTGGAACTGTCTCCTTGCCGCAAATGCTTTCCGACAGTAACCTGTCGCGGATTTCCCAGGCAAAGATGGTTGGGTATCGCGCTTGTAGTCTGCGATCTTGTCAACGACGTCTCTGGTGGCCACCTTTGGTTTACTGCCACCAATGACGCCTGGCTTGATGGACCCTGTCTCGTAGAATCTGATAGAAGGAAAAGTCGTGTCCATCATGGTAAAGAGGTTATTCTAGGATAGAGGCCTACTTGTATTTTCCTGATCATTTGTCCCCTCCCAAATTGATACACCATTAGAACATATGAATACGTAAATCAAGCATGCAATATGTATCGTGTTGAATAATTCTTTTTAAACCATTGATGATTATATCCCTTTTTGTGTTTAGACTGAACTATGTAGCCTTTTTCTTTTGGATCATTAGAGATGAACTTGGAAGGAACAGCAGATTCTTTTATGTTCTTGCTCTTTTCTGTTGCTTAAAGATGAAGTTGAGTTCTGGTCATGCGATTGCATTGTGAAAGAAACGGGTGTGGAATCGACCAGAAAAGGTTGATCCTCTAGCATATAAGAATTTGTGTGTATTGCAAGGTTCTGGAATCATCAAAATGATAAGAAATTTGGCCAAGTCTTGGTAAAGTTACAAACACTGTACACAGAAAGATGTTTATGGGACTACACGAACACATGGGGCAATGTTACATGACATATTTAGAATATGAAGGCATTTGAAGAGCCATGCTTTTCAGGGAACATGTCTTATCTGATGTTCTTCCACACTTGCATAATAAGAATGATCACGCTCACAAATTATTTTTCACCTCTTCCCAGAACTCAACCATCTCTTTAACTTGTAAGACGATTCTGTTATGACATGTAACTTTTCCTGAGCTCCACACTTCGCACCATCTCTTTGCCAAGCAGTGAGCAGATCATAATGTTATTGTATATAATGATGTGAACATAGCATCTAGCCATCTATCATACCAGGGGAGTGTTTCACAAAGACTAAGATCAACTTTAAGTTGGACTTAACTATGGAAGGCTGTTCATGCCACTGTTTGCTCTCACCACTTACTTGCATAGTTCTCTCAAGGGACGTACAAATCAAGTCACAAATCCACAGAATTTACAATTTTTGATAACTCATTATTGAAGGAAAAAATATTATTTGAAAAATTATTAAGATCACAATGGTAAGAGCAAACAGTGGCATGAACAGCCTGCCATAGTTAAGTCCAACTTAAAGTCAATCTTAGTCTTTGTGAAACACCCCCAAGGGCCTTGTCATATGAAGACATACACGTATGCATAAAATGAAAGCTTATTCTTTTAAAGCTTATCTGTACTAGTTTATAGGACCACTCTGCAAGGTCACTGGACAGGTGGGTATCTCATCAACTCAGCTTTAAAGGTAAAGACCAGTATTGGAAACGCCCCAATTTCAAAAAATGAAATGGAAGCTCTCATTACCAATCATGTGAAAGAATATGTTTTGACTAATACATGATGATAAAAAATTTGCCGGGAAACCGCCTACTATTTCATATATTGGTAAATTTGTTTCTCTCATGGTCTGTGAGAGAAATAGGGTAGTCCCATATACATCTTTCTGTGTATAGTGCTTGTAACTTTACGAAGAATGGGCCAAATTTCTTATCATTTTGATGATCCCAGAACCTTGCAGATGCTAGATGCTAGATGATCAACCTTTTCTGATCGATTCCACAACGTTTCTTTCACAATGCAATCGCATGACCATAACTGGTCTTTACCTTTAAATTAACATAAGAAAAAGAGGATCAGAGGGGGACCAATGGTCACCGATTAGGCATTGTTTTCTATATAGAGGGAGCAAGTAGCTACAAGTAGGACAGTGTGACTTTGACTTGTTTCAGACGTACCTGACAAGGATCTTGCTGACACACCCATGGGACACTTTGAGCTGTCGGGAGATGTCACATGGTCGTACTCCTTCCCGTGCCAACTCCACGATCTGTGTGCGAATCTGTGTAGGGAGAGGGCGGCCATTGGCGAAGCATCCTCCTAACTGGTTTACTCCCTCGGCATCTAATAAAATGTAAAAACATGAAATATAGTTAATAATAATAATATTCTGTGTCTATATACCAGTAGTGCTCCATACATCGATCCAATGATGTGCCTAAGCGCTTTACAGATATATTATTCCCCGGTCATCGGATTCAGGCTTACCCGCACACAATGTATGCACATTTTCCACTCCCTGGGGAGCATTCCAGCCAGTCGCCATTTTACAAGCGCACACTTGCTCGTCCAACCATATGAACTTTCGCATCCTACCTGGTACCCATTTAACACCTGGGTGGAGAGTAGCAAGTGCAGGTATATATCTTGCCAAAGGATATTAGTGTTGTGTCGGGATTCGAACCCTCGACCTTCGCACCTCCAGTCAAGCACCTTAAACCACTCGACCACTCGGTAAAGGCATGTGGTTTATACTGACTGAATACCCTTGTATGTTCCAGTAAGAGAGTTTATACTGAAAGAACAAGGTGATCAATATTAAAGAAAACCTCACCACAAGAAATCACTTATTCTGAGAGAGTAATTATACTCTTGCCCATTAATCTACAAGATTCCCCACCAAAGTGTGTGAGAGAGAGGTATAAAGCAAGATCTTCTTAGCATAATGTACAGTTTCTTGGCACGACATGGGCATAGCCATTTCTTGATAACTATGTGTGCCATGCGTAGTCAGAAAGGCAAAACCAGACCTAAACACTGTAGCAATGTGCCTGATGTGTTTTTTTTAAAGGGTATGGATTTCATGATCTTAAATATGAAGTCCTGTTTTTTGTGATTTCAGTATATATATTAAAATGTCAGTTCAATTAATAATTATTTTACATAGAGAATAACAAACATACTTTGGAATGCTTCATTATTATATAAAACATATACTTATCATGTATAAGAATGTCTTTATAAATAATAAGATATTTTTTTTAAAGATACTCATGTAATATGATTGTTTTTTTTATGGCACATGTCCTTTCTGTACTCAAGACAGTGTATAAATTTCAAAAGAAAGTTGAAATGTGTAGAAAAGGAGATCTATAAGAAAGCTAAATCATTTTTGTTCGAGGGAGAAAATATGTGTATGTTTAAGAAGAAGAGAGAGAGAACGAGAGAGAGAGAGAGAGAGAGAGAGATAGGGTAAGGAAAAAAAGGAGGGTAAGGAAAAAAAGGAGGGTAAAGAGAACGAGATAAAAAATGTGACTGGTCATATTGCATTATTCGTACGTACGGTCATACCAAGGAGGGTTTACCAGCACCTTGGGCATACTACGCATGATCCGTGTATACAGCTAAATTGGCAACGTAAATCACAATTCTGCTTGCTATATTTAGTTTGACAAACGCGCTGTATTTTTTCAATCTTGGGTATATTCTGGAATATTCATTATTAATTATCACAACTAATTTCGGAAAGTGCATGACTCACACGAGTACTGTATTTCATTGAAGCAGTACTGATAATCTATGTACATGTATTGTTGTCCCAAACCAAGGGTGTCGCGCTCTTTCACTTCGGCGCTGATACGTTGTGCGTGTATCTCGCATAAATCCCCTCACAAATCACATTGCGTGGCTGCGATGCGGCGCATATACAATCGTTCAAAGGCATGGGGAAATTTCGTTCTAAATTACCATAGAAGCAATTTATTTTCGAATCTTTACTATTAAGCAGTTTTTGAAAGTATGGAAACAAAATCGAACTGTAAACGAAAACTGAACGAAAATGAGGCTCGGCCCGCAGTCTAAATTCTCTGGATCTGCGCCCTGTGTCATAAAAAATTGTTAGCAAGACAAGTGACAGTTATACTGTTGGAAGCTACTGAAATAGCATTTGATTGGCAGAGAGGCTGGGGGGAGATTTGTCATAGAAATTTAGCATTTGATAGCAAGTTTGATAGCAAGTTTCATTAAAAACAGGGCCCAGAAAGAAGAAAAACGCAAAATAGCGGGCTAAATGCAAACTTGGCATGGGTTGACGAAAACGGGAATAATAAGTTGTTGCTTGGTACAGGGGCGGATCCAGCCGGCGGCAGGGGAGGGGGCCAAAGAGGGGGCCCAATTCGTGAGAAAATATTTAGCGGCGAAACAGCCAGCCGGTGAAAAAAAAGGGGGGGGGGTAGTGAGTAACCTGGCCCCGAAGGATCGCTTGACTATTTTTATCGAATAATGCCCTAACTTTCACTAATTTGTTTCTCTCATTTTCTGCCTTTAATAAAACCGAGATAATAATCAGGGTGGACTTCCCCTTTAAATACGATTAATGCGTTTGCAACCCCTCCTAAAGCAAGATGAACGCGCCTATTCCATGGTTGTTTTCGCAATAAGCCAAAACAGTTTCAAGAAGCTAAGGTAGGTATACCCAATTAAATCTATTCATAACAGCTTTTAATATGGTCCTGCGTGACCCGTAATCCTTCGTATAACTTTCATTAATCGCAAGATTATCTTGATTCCGAGTATAACTGGGGAGTATAAAGGAAGTGTTTCTTAAAGGATACAACAGACGGTCACAAAATCACTACCTGAAAGAACTATATACTGAATGTATTGTCAGGCGCCATAGTATAGTCCCTTATCCTTTAACTTATCCATACCCTACTTAAGATTCTAAATACTATCACCGTCGCTTTCTTACCAAAATCTATACGACCCCACCCCACACTATGTCTGGTAGCTTCTTTTTTTTTTTAATTCGAACCATAAAAGGCTTTGACCGGGCGTCGATTTCACGTCTTTGTATAAAGCCTACACACTCGACTCAAAATGAAAGGTTACAAACTGGATCCAGATCTCTGGAAGGTATTGTGAGGTCCAATAATACCATTCTATAGCATCGAACAATCGGCTTTTCGGATCGGCGCCTGCGGGACCCTCCGCCCCCTTCAACCTTACCGAAGATAGTCTACTTAACGATAGACCTTCCCGTACTGTTTCATTATACGTAGAACATACAATACAGGGAAAAAATTAATTTTTATTTTTCGGGGGCTACTTTTCAAACTTGCCTGCATGAAATTAATACTCTAAAATTTGTTTTGCATTGAACTCTATGCAAATTTACAGAGGCTCTTTTCTGATTTTGGGGGGCTCTTTGGGGCATTTCAGGGGCTATTTCGCCCCGTGCTCCCGTGTATTTTGTGTATCCAAAAAGGATTGTGCATGAATCTTTCTACTGCTTGAAAAAACATTGTTGGGAAAGGGTTAGCTAAAACTAAATAGGTCACTCAGCAGGTCAGAAGATAACACTTCTTCTGTTCCCTTGGTTGAAAATACCAAATCGGAAATATATAAAGATGGGGGGAAAATAACAATCCTGATACGATAACCCCTGAGTGCAAAATAGTATTAGTTGCGGAAACCAAATGGGTAATAACTAAATGAAAAATATAAAATAAGCTTCGAAATTGCGTAATTTCTCAGAATTCCCCACCCTGAGACGCTTTGCACAGATTTGTAAGCATAATAATTTAGAGCCAGGCCTTAAATGGAGGAGGGGGCAAGAGGGCTTCGTTTTGTCGGGGTGTTTGGCTAAGGGTGCGTTCAGTCGACACTTTTTCACCCTAGCATCACGGTTTTCAAAGACGTTTAGTTTAAAACACGGTTGCGTTCAAGCGATTTTTCGTTGGTCGTAAAACTTATAAGGCCAAGATTAAATCCACTTAATCCCCACACGTTGGTTGTTCATAATGGTACAGGCTTCGTGGTTTCAACGCATTGATGGATTCACGTGGAGTTCTTCTTACAATGGTCTTTCAAAGTTTCAATAACGATATTCAATCAAGAGAAAAGGGTTCAGTAGCAGGTCAAGGAGAGGTTATCTCAATCTTTTATATTTGAGAATGTGTGATCATTACCGTTCGCATATACAATTGAATGTTTAAAATTATATCACACATACTTATCACGGGAATTCTATAAGTTCCACTCGGGGCAGACATTTACATATATAGAGCTAATGTTGAAGTGGAGTAAGCAAATTTTATCAGCAAAAACCTCACTTTCAACTAAGGCTTCCCCGACAGATATTAAGAATGGCAAAAATAAATGAGGATTCGTGAAAACCATGGATTTACTAACTCAATTGTAAAAGGATCAAATAGCCAAGAATCGCTCCATTTCACGCTCATAAAGGATATCATAACACGGAATCTTCCCACAAACAAATTCCTTTCATCTATTGTACCCTAAAATATTCCCTTGAGCATGTAATATTTGCAATGACTATAGAGGAAATGAAGGAGAATATGGACAATTTCGAATCTGCTTTGAATTACTGCAATAAAAGGAAACTTTAGCACGCGATTGAGCTGCAAAGGGGCATCAAAAATAGTACATATAGCATGTTGCAAAAGTACGAAAATATTTTCATAAACATTTCAGAAAAAAATTATAGCCTAGTATGGAATTAGTGTACGCGGAACCTTGATTTCTGAGCGAGTTCGCAGCACTTCTTTCTATTCACTCGCCTTTTTGTTCCCCAGTGGTGTCACAAAAAAGCAGGCGATATCGTCTACTGAGTGACAAATCATGTGTCGCATCCGAACAATACCTACATCTTAAGGCATTCATAAACTGTAGTCTATAATCTCTGCCATTTTATCTACCTTGGAAACGTTATAAAACTAAATAGAAACATCGTCAATGCAACATGATGAACATGAATCGAATGAACGTTTTGTAAATGTTTTCTTATTATGTTGGTGGCGCTATAACAACGCTCAAGCTCGAAATACTATAATGCGCGGAGGCCGAGGCCAAGTTGCCCCCCTGCTCTTCAAAAGTAGACCGAAAGGGCGGTTTTAAAAGGTGACACCATTAAAAGAAAGTTCTTCCAAAAGGGGGGTAAAAAAAACATTTTCGAGCAGCAGCTTCTATTAAAATTGTCCTCCGTATATATTTCAATTCCATTTTACAAAAATCCATAAGCTGGAATCAAATGAGGCATAGGTTAGTAGACTAGGCAGAAATAGGAAAGAAGTCATTCCCATGAAAAGAGTCAAAAGAGTACGACGAATAAAGGTTGTTTACGTAAAAATCAAAAGGTAGAAGTGAGGATAACTATCTTGACCAAATAATAAGTAGCCTCCTTTCAATAAGCTTACATTTTCTAAGAAAAAGAAAAAAGAAAATAGAATCAAAAGGACATTCTTGCTTAAATCGGCATTGGATAATAATTCTGCGCGACTTGATGTTTTCTGTTCACTAGCATTTTTACGTCCAATAAATTGACAATGAATTGGAAATGTCCCATTTTATCGTTGGCTTAACATTATTAAAATTAAAAGAGAAAGAAAAACACGAGCGAGGCTTACGCACCACTATGTAAATCCAAGATTATGTAAGTTAGTATAAAATTCTCGTTGATTCTCATATTCAAATGCACAGATTAAAAACCGTTTAATACAAACTACTCGAAAGAAGGCTAGATGTGGTGGAGCTGGAGAGAATGGTAGTTGGTGATTATCACGCTTTACTAACCCCCAGTCAAGCGATGAAATGGTTTTGGGGCTGGTTGAAAACAACCGCTGAGGTTCAATTCCTCCTCTCGCCAGGATTCATCAAAACGACTCCACGATGAATAGACTTGTTTGCTCAGTTTGGCTGAGGAGATTTTTTTCTTCTGTTGTATAGCATTGATTTTACGACCCATTCTCCCGCAAAATGTAAATCGGTAATGGGAGAGTAGATAGAGAAGGTTGATTATAAAGCTAATACTGTACAGAACATGGGAAGATGTATTGAGAATTGAGATAAAATGGAGAATGTACATGTATCTATTGAGTATTGAGTGAATATTTCGCCCTTATATTGGTATAACTCGATTTTATCACAGAACAAATTAGAGAATACTGCTTTGGGTGATTTTCCCTCATAACAACAGATACACCTACATTATCCCACAAGCCCCAAATGTGTATACATCTAGTATATTTAGTATAGCTTACTGATGTCTTTTGGTTGGCGAGTATACTATGCGAATAATACTGTATATTCGTTATCTCACCAATGGCGACATTTACTTTGGACTGTACGTGAACACTTGGCCTACAGGTTGGGGTTAAAATATCATCAGACTGAGCATGGGTTTAACCTGATTCAACTCAAGGTGGAGCATCAAACTACCTTCACAAATACTTTCTTAAATCGTACTGATGAAATTCGGGGGAAAATGACAACAAATGACAAATTCTGATGATTAAATTAATCAATTTCGTAAGAAAAAGGACTGCAATTGTGTAAGAGGGAGAGGTTGACACTTGGCGCTCCAAAGAATTATCAGTAGGTTAAATGTAGGTCGGGGGCGGCTGACATTAAAGCCCTAATAAAGTAGTTGTATGATGATAGTGTCATATTTGCTACTGCCTTTCAGTGCAGCTTATCATACTGAATCAACGTCGTTTGCTGATCATTTCATGTCTCCGCGGAGGTGACTTATGTGTTACACACCCGAGCATTAAACTGACATAAGAATGGAGTAAGCCTTTAATAAGCATGCCAATGCTTTTAAAGGTCCAACTTCTTTTAGATTGCAAGGTCATACTATTGTATAATTGAGAGACATAAGTATGTAGGCCCTACGTTTTCCCGTCACTTTATATAGATATCTGAACTGCTATCAATCATTCACGTTGTGTTCGGGGTAGCTTCTTGTCATGAGATTATTTTCTACCCAAGTCATTTATAGTAACCTAGAATAGGCTCCAAAATATAGATTGATCTGATAATTGTACTCGAAAATCAATGGGGGTATTATCCTGCGACAAGCATTGGCTCTCCGCGCCTGTTTCCACGCCGACCACGATAATATCAGTTTTAATCATGAATATTGTTCGCCAAATACCTCCCGCCGCGATTTATTTTAAATATATATATAAACAACGCTTTAGACGGAAAACATTCGAAAGCAAATATGGTACAAAATTACACAAAATGTATGTAAAACAGATTGAATATTATTCGAAAATAAAGCTGGTAGCCTTTTCTATGTTAACATTTTCATTCAATTAAGAACATTTTGTCATGCATTAACGTTGTCACGCAGACCATTTTTTCCCCAAAATTATCAATTAAATTGATGTACATGTACATGTATCTCATCCATACACGGAGTAGGGAATACGTGCTCTCTCTGTCTCTCTGTGTCTGTCTGTCTCTCTCTCTCTCTTTACTTTGGTCCAGTGGTAATCGGACTTCCTTTCACCTTGAAATCTTACAAGCGCACTTCTGATTCGTGCAGTGAATTGGAAAGGTAAAAGTCGCTGCACTCTCGGGAGATTATATATGGATCCAGAAATTATAACTCCTCGTGAATGTGATCTGTAACAGTTGAATTCTTTGGGCAGGGGGTTGGGTGATGTTACATAATCATTGTATTAATGTGTGTCGATCCCCGAAAAACTGTTCTGGCCTCCAGAGTTTGTGTCAACCACACATCTTGCGATTTCAAGTCGGACCAAAAATGTTTCACCTATCACAAAACCCTTTTTTTTTTTAATAATTAGAGAGATGAATGAAACATATTGATATTCGCTTGCTTGACATCATAATTGGATTCGCAGTACATTGTCATTAATATACTTGCACACGTGTTGTACGCAAATTGGTGGCAGAAAAAGAACATGAAAGTTGTGTCTCGTAATTATATCTAAGCATAATAACACACTTTTATTTTTGGAAAAACGGGCCGATACCAACAGACAATTTTCGTTATGTAATAAAATGTTATCAATTTTATGATACATGTATAGTACATATTTGTTAAGTGCCATGTTACAAATTATTTCATTCACCTGTTACAACTTACAACCAATTGTATTAAATAGTCAGAGTACGAGTTGTATATATTACTTTTTGCCAGGTAGGACAAACATTGGCTTGTTACTAGGAAACAACATGGAATGAAATAATTTGAAACAGGCACAAACAAAGATTTGGGCATTAAATTTGATGAGATTACATAAATGGCCAAGTGGTATTACAAAATATACAACCACCAGAGTAAATTAACTCTTTTAGAGATAATCTAGATTAATGAACGCTTGAATTAACATAAAGGAGATCAATGCAGGAGTGGATTATTTTAATTCCAAACGAGGATTAACAAGTTAACCTTAAGTTTTTACTTTCTCTGTTTCAATCCTTTGTTTAGAAACAGGATGTCCCGAATTCCTCTTAGCTTGCTTCATCCTGCAACTTAGCTGGAAGGCTGTATTTAAATATTGAAACCATAAAACTCATTCATCAGAAGGTGAACTCTCTGCCTAAACAAAACCACTTGCAGCCGAGAGGCTAAAAGCAATCAACCTCTATTGTGATGCAAGCTGAAAGGCTCATTATAGACAGGATGGGGTCATATACTTAAGTGAATACATAAATGGCCTCTTTTTGAAAGAGTGCTACAAAGGAGGGCTGGTCAACACACATGCATTTTGTTTGCCAAGGCAATGATGGCATGTAAAACGATGACATTATAAATGTGCTTGCTAGTCAATGTTGATACTATTATCAACATTTAAAAAAAAACTCTAACAATCATTTATTTCAATTAAAAAATAACATATATATTTCCTTCTCTAAAAAGAAGACCTGTTTAACATGGGTTTTTTTTCATAGGAATTATGAGCATACCTCTTCAAGATTACCCAACAAGACACTAATAGTCCTAAAATTAAAACAAACAAACATAATGGAAAACACACATACACAATAACAAAATGAAATAATGAAATGTGATTGCTCATGAACGTATGAAAGCTGAAACACTTTGAGCTAAATATTATGTACTAACTAACTAACTTAACTTAACTTTAAAACACGATGTTGTAGGTCTAAATCTCAACCAAACAAATAAACCAGCAACCAAACCATACTGTGAAGTGTGAACATACAAATTGTCAAAATATTGGGCTACTTTCAAACACACAACATGCACTGGAAGTGACTGCATATGAACTAGGATATTCTGATTATTTAAACTACACATCCATATAACATATCTGTAATAATAAGTTAATAATAAGTGCACACACTGACCTGATAGTCTTCTCCTCTTAGCTTTTGGTGTTTCCCCTTCTGGACTACTTTCTTCATGAACATGCATCATTGTTTCCCCTTGAACTTGCAACACTGGTGGTCCTTGATGGATATGCAATGATGCCTCTTGGTGTACAATATGCGCTTCTTCTATCATTTTGGGTTGGGATTAGTAATACTTTTACAGCACTGATTGTTTTGAGTTTCCTGGATGTAATAGAATGAAGGATTGCAGAGAGGATGATCAACCTGCAACAAAGGGAAATGAAAAATGGTTGAAATTCAAAATACATCTTGAAATCTTGAGGATACCCTTTATCCGTTCACATACAAATTGATACAAAACTCAATTGTTGGTAAGCTACATGTATGAGTGACGTAAAGATTTGTCAGATACCTCAGATGAATTATTTTCCATCAGTTCTCTTTCTAAGAATACTAAGTTTTCAGATGATCTACAAATTATACATCATTGGGCGCGGCGGAGAATAATGTAATTTATACTTTCGGCGGCCGCGGAACATCCAAGCATGAGAGAGTTAGGGAATTACCCAAGGCAGGCTCCGGTGCACTCAAATCGTGCCCGTATCTTGGCAAAGTTTACCCAGACTGTATCTAAAATTCCTTGAGTTTAGTCAGCCTCCGAAATCAAAAGAAGTATCACTGCTCCAGGGGTTCAAAGTTAAGAAACTATCCCGACGGAATTGTGTGCACTTGCCACAGGTGAGCGCATAGCGTGTGACTAGATAGATACGGGGGCAATGTTGATATGAAGTCTACTGAAGCATATACGGACTGGGCAAAGGTTCTGCTTACAAACACGCTGCTCAAGATTCTTGGATCGTGATTCTGCAGTCAAGCAAGCAAAAACTGTTCACTATCGCCGCGATCGTGGAGCAAGAAGGTTCATCCCCAAGTTGGAGGACATTTCCGACACGGGCAACCACAGAAAGAGTGCAGAGATGGACAATTCAAGGCAAAAAAATTGGGTGGTTTCAGCCAGAGCCAGGTTAGGAAATCTCGTCGTAAATGCGAAACGCGCGTTTGACCGTAATCGTACACACTCAACAATTCAATCATGTTACTCTCATTTTTGGGAACATCAAACGAGCAATTTGCAGATAGACACTCATTTTAAACAAAACATATACATTTAATCAAATTCAAAGACTCATACATTATTTCAACAAGCAATTGTAGGCATAATGTGTTTAAAATTAATGCAGATCTTCCTATGCATGTACTCACGTATGATGGCGGCCGAGAGAGCACTTGCTTCAGCGCCGTGTTTAGCCGTTCAGCTTGAATGCCACTGCTGTACTAAATCAAACTGCTAGGCTCACTGCACCCAACAACCAGCGCACACAGTATACTAGTCTAGTCGAGTACAGTACACACATCTTTTACACACACACAGAATCGTCAATACACACATAATACAACAGACACACACATTAGCTATCATCTCCGAGCGAGGCGATGGCCCCCATTTTCGGGTGTGTATGGACGATAAAATAGTGTTCTCCCATCAAACAATAGAAGCCCACGCATTCTTTTACACCATGGGTCCCTGTTGAATATTCAAAGCGTTCTTGGCGGTCGAAACACAATAGAACTCGGGAGGCTAGCTTCTCTGGCCCCAACTCACAACGTACGACAATTACTAGTATTATGCGAGCGAAAAAAGGGGAATAACAATTCGTGTACGCATATCATTGCAGTGCAGAAAGTGCATGCAAAGCTATAGTTTGCGAATATTACAGGAACACATTTGTGCGTAACAAGCTTGTCTGAACTGAGAGACTACTAGTATGCAGCCCACTGATCTCTACGGAAAAATGCTCGTCGGATCTGCTCAAAGCTAGCTAGCTTGGCTCAAGACATTATGTAATTGTCAAATTAGAGTTTATGGTGTAACGAAAGTTGCTACAACAGTGTATTTTATCATAAAAATTATTGGAGAAATACATGCAATAACAAGAGTAGTCTGTGTGTCTGTAGATCTAGACAGTGGCGGATCCAAGGGGCCCGGGCCCCCTCCCCCTGGCAAAAAACAGGTAAAAACACGTTAATTTTACCTTTTTTTTTAAAGACGGGTCCCCTTCCCTGGTGCTCAAGGGGTAGAGGGTGCGATTTTCAATTTGGGGGGGGGGGGAAACAAAATATTAGTGCTCCTTACCCCCCCCCCCCCCCACCCTTATTCACCGGTTGGCTATTTCGCCGCTAAATATTTTCTCACGAATTGGGCCCCCTCTTTGGCCCCCTCCCCTGCCGCCGGCCCTGGATGTAGAGCGCAGAATAGCCTATTCTCAACAACCGCGAATAAGGTAGCGAAGGGGGCGGGGTGGTGGCTGGGCGGGAGAGTAGATGATCATGTGGATTTGATTTGATTTGATCATTCATTACCAAAATTCATTTGACATAAATACAACTTATTAATGTATACAATTTAGGTAAAATGAATTACAAACTAGCTTAAAAAAGTAATCGAGTTCCAAAAAGTTCCACATAAATAGTTATTTGATAATTAAAATGATTTACAGTTGAGAATTTACAATGTTCTGACTTCGATAATCGGGACTTATCAGATGTTTAGTACGTGACGTAGCCGTACTGTGTCCGACACTCGATAGGCCGGGCACTGGTCTTAAAATACAAAGGGAAAAGGGCTTTTAGAAGGATGAGGTGTAAACATTTCCCTCTCCTCTTCCTTTCGTTCTCTCTCTTTATTTCGTCATTCGTTTTAAGGGCAAGTGCCCCGCGGCCACCGCGCCCCTAACATAGAAATACGCCACGCCAAAGCATTCCTTTAAAAATCTTTCTCGAAATAGCCGCTTTACATTAATTTATAAGCCTTATTCCTGTAGGCCTATTTCTTAAGAATGGAAAACTTGACAAAAGTAGGCCTATAGGCCTATTTACACAATCAGACCCGTAGCCGAAAATTTATAAATATATAATTATAATATATATATATATATATATATATATATATATATATATATATATATATAAATTATATATATATACATTTTGGGGGGTTGCTTCTTGTAATAATACTGTATAATACTACTACTACTACTAATAATAATAAGATAATAATGATAACAATAACGAAGCGCCCGTCTCCTCGATCCCCTCAGTTTACCTAATTTATGCTTGCAATGGCGGGTGTCGACATTATTTTGTTCAAGGGTTATCGAATGTAGAAATTTAGTCATTCCAAATTTGTATACATCAGTAATCAATACAATCGATGCTATCTACAGTTTTGGCGATACTCAAAACTAAATTGAAACAATCATGATTTGTTTGGTTTAGATATCAGAGACTTTTATGGTATTTATGTCATGACTTTTTTTTACCCTTTTCAGGCAATCCTGTCCCGCACCTATAGATAGACCCTACGCATTTGCGCCCCATTTTAGGTAGTCAGCACCCCCCCCCCCCCCCGGCAAGGCCGTAGCCAGAGTTTGACGTTTGGAGGGGGCACATACATGTAATTGATCGACGCCCTAGGGAGGGGTCTAAAAAACCGGAGATAGGGGGGGGGGGAGGGGGTGCTTTCAAAAAGAGGGAACATGCATACGCGTACCTTAATACATGTATATAGCTATTGTTATCCTTTTAATTCATTTACCAGACCTAAAGGCATAGCGAGCGCGACAATTATCATGCTGAGAGACTGACAAGATGATAAATTTGCAGGCCAAAAGTTAATGACGAAAGCCAATATTACTTTGATGAGTTTGGTATCGTAATGTGTTTCGAAGAGAATTGATTGTTATGATTTTTTCGAAACTATTTCTGGGGGCTTTGTTGGCTTTGTCCATGCAGGTTTTGGAGAGGAAACCCTCAATCAAAATAAAATGAAATCTAGAAGAAGAAAAAAGTATTTACGGGAGAAAATGTGATTTTGAATATGATGTACCGCTTAGGCATCGTTGGCAATGTACGAAAGGAGCTATAAGAAGTGCAATGAGAAATAAATTGTAATGCTAATGAGTGCTGCGACCGAGTGAAAATTGTTTTGTATAAGCTCCCCGACCCTACATCTGATTTCCTTTTTTGTAATAAGGGGGAGGGGGTAGTGTGAGCACTAACTAAAACAATTATGTCAAACATTTTTTTTTTTTTAAAGGCCATGGAGCCGGGCCCGTCGCCCCCCCCCCCCCCCCCCCGCGAGGATTCGCGCCTGGTACTATCTACTAGAAGGAGAAGAAGAAGAATGGATAAGAGTAGGGGTCTTTGAAAGGGCCCCTATCAGGGTAAGAAATGTAATAACTTGATGATTTAAGGCTTATCAATAGGAGACCACCGCCGATTCCCTTATCAGAAAACTGTAAATGGTATACTGTTCATATACGCTGGCTATAACGCCATTAGACTCTACGGTACTGATTCAAATCAATACACAATAACTAGTTCCAAAACTACAGTCAAATCTGCTTAAGCGACCGCCTGTATAGAAGACAAAAACCTGTCTATAAAGACAATGTCTTTTGATTCCCTTTATAAGTGCTTAATTCCTATTAATTCATACAGAAAACAAAGCTGTAGGCCTACATGAAGACCTCTTGCTCTTAAAAGACAGTTTGTATCGTCTAATAATAAATATCGTTTCATTATAATAATAATGGACCACGCAGTGTTATAATTAATCTGTTGTCATATTTCTATTCTGAAACGTTCGTTAACTTGTGTGAAGAGAAAGTATTCCAAAAGTTTCGAATGTGCTAAAGATATTTTATTGTAGAATAACGAATATCTACAAAATAATATAGGTACTAATTTTGATAATCAGTAACTCAGTTTAAAGAACTGAAAAGTACCTTAGATGAAACAGTGCAACAGATAACATAAATAGGTTTAACAGCACCGACTGATTATTTTGACCACATTGTGAGATATATAGAAACACCAGTTTGTGTATCATTTCCACGAAATTAAATTTAGAAATGGCTGAATGCCTCTTGCCTGTGCCCTGTGGAAGCACAAGCAGGGCCACTATTGCGTGATTTGAAGAATCAATTTTTTGTTTATCGGGAATATCGGCTACATATTTTCACATCTTCGTGCATGGACTCCCATTCATTCATGTGTTTACATACGCTGTGCCAATCCATTGGCAAATAAAACATTTTGTGATACAATTATCGGCAAGTCTTCAATGAGACACCTCACAATGAAAGCATTGAAAAGTCCCGGGTCGAAAATTCATTTTTGATCTAACGAAGAGCCGTGCTTATAGCATGGATGGGTGGGGTCCGGCAATAGGACGCCGTGCATGAATACACGCATTCCATAGCATTAATAGTGTCTTTGTGCTACCTGTATAATCTCATTGACTCCTCATTCGATCATCACAAGCCCCCCTTGCAGAGATTCATCGTGGTTTTCAGAGAATGGGATTTGTAAAGGAGTGTTATTCGCTAAGGATTATGGCGTTGACAATGGGATAATAGATTGTGTTCATCTTTTTTTTAATTCAAAGGAATCGTGTACTTGAACTTATTGGCAGTGTAGTCTATGCAGTTTAGACGTCAATTACGTGTAACGTAATATAGTCTCCCTGTAGTACGAATAATGTTGTATAGTCCGTATATAGTACTGGTACATAGAAAGCGGTTGTTGTTGTTGTTTGGTAAATTATCGGCGGATCATGGTTTCATCTATTTAAGGCATGCGATTTTTAATCGTCTATTGTACAACTTATTTTGATATGTTGTCATTACATCGAAATGATTAGTGCCATTAACATGAATGAAATAACACTGATGACGAAAATGTCCAAGTAATTAAAATGAGAACCAAATGTTAGTACATGTACTTAAAAATGTAGTTTTTAACAGTTTGAATATTACTCTCTTCATAATATTTGTAGGTTTTGCATATAATGAAGAATCTACATGCCGTATATACAGTTCTATGTTTATAATCGATTTTGTTTTTTCTGCTGATCTTCTTTAGAACCCGTCTGTACTATAGGTTGGCCAGGGGGATTAGACCTCCCTGCCAGGCACGTAGCCAGGGCTTGATGTTGATGCCCCCCCCCCGTGCCCCCCCCCCCCCTTGGCTACGTGCCTGCTCCCTGAAAGGTCACCGACAGGTGGTTACCTCATCAAATCAGCTCTCAATTAACATAAGAAAAAGAGGACCATGGGGGCCCAATGGTCATCGATTAGGCACTGTTTGCTATATAGAGGGCGCAAGTAGCTATAGGTAATGCAGTAGGGCTTAACCATAATTCTCTCATCACCATGGTTCGGAATCTTTACAAAATTGCAACTATGTTCCCAT